ACATCGGGTCTTGTTGGCAGGATAGGTTTAAAGGTAGGCAAAAACGCGCGACTTGGCTAATCTGAAAGCTTCGTGAGGTATATTACTTCGCTGATGGGATATTTAACACTTATTTCGCTATTAAGTGGAACATGACAGCGTTCCTTATATGAGCGCAAGTAAGCTAGCCGCCTATATATAAGTGTGAGGGCTATTCGTGCTTCATGTGCATTCGTTTTCGGTCCATTCGTTTTTGAAGTTGTTCTCGCCTCTACTCTTACAGCTTCCTAAGCTCCCTGTGACAAGATCGCTGAGAAACGCAGCAGGCACTTTGACTTTTCGGCAGATAGCGAGTTGTTGTGTTACTGCTGAGCTGGGGGGTTTCAGCTTGCTTGGTATAGTAGCATCACGGTGGATTGGCGTTTGTGTCTACACGGGAACGAAGACAACAACAATAATAATGGCAATAGTGGCATTGGGGTTTCAGCCCGAAGCCAAACCATCTGAGTTGTGACGATCATAACATGGTAGCGCCCTTGGGACCGACGTTGCTAGCAGAGTGCCGTGACAAAAAGGTACGAACTCCGACTGCGTGCAGACAGCGTACAGGCATCACTACAGCGTTATATGGACGCATTTAGCCTTCGTGCACGCACACACCGGGTATGTGGACTGTGGTATAAATTTGAAGAGCTTGGGCGCGCTAGCATCGCTAGTGGCAGCGATGGTAATGACAGTTCGTGCGATATAAACTCGATATAGTAGCTATTGAAGCACGCGCAAAAGCATTCATGCAAGTACGTCCAAGAACGAGGGGGTGGGGGTGGGGGTGGGGGTAAAGTAGGATGGAGAAAAGAGCGAAAATGCGGCAGAGGCGTGGGAATAGTCGTCTGTAACATATGCTGTTATACAATGTTGTAACGCATAGGCGCTGATATCGTGCAGTGAAAGCACTTCGCTTGAGTGTGTCGGCTACTGTTTGTGTCGGCTTGTCGCAATTTGAGTGGTTAGACGGACAAGAAGAACGATACGAAGGTCAACTTGGAACTAGTTGCACATGCGGCTGGATGCCAAAAGAAAAAGCAACTTGGGTGCACGACGCATAAAGCGACATATCACATAAAGAATCTGGCAGACCAGGCTGGCGAGTAAGACGCCAGCCGCTCGTCTGAACCGAACCGCCTAAGCTCCCAACTTGTCAGAATTCTAGAGCGGAGAAGGGCCCTCATGCTTCTTTTCGCTGCTGCCAATGGCAAACTGAGTTTAGTTTTGGCAAACACCGTATGATGTTTGTCTGCCTTCGCCCGTACCCAACTAAAGACCGCCCGAGAAGTTGACCCCAGGTTGGACGCAAGACTATGTAAATATTGCTTGGCCTCTCAGTCGCATCGTGAAAAAGTGATACGAGTGCGTAGAACGTCAGAACAATGGTTCGGATAAAGCAAAGCCCTTCTCTAGTACCAACAGGACAACATGTATGAAGCATCATTATTAAGTAGAATAGGAATATCTCCTTGCTGGCTAGGTTTCGCCAGGCCACTTGAAGTAGGAAACGTTCTAGTTTTTCCATCGAAACTCTGCAAATCCCTTTAGATGAAAAAATCGTTTTTCCTTTTGTAACGAAAAGTCTCGTTTCTCCTAAGGAGCACATATAGAGCCAAGTTTCGTTATCCCTTCGTGCTCGATTGTTCAGGAACTGCCCAATAGCGTTCATAGATAGGTAATACACGCGTACATTTCCTTCAAGTTCAGTCTCACTATCTGCAGTCAGAGCCACTCTTTAAAACAGTAGCGGTACAACTTGTAGCGGCTATTGCTTCCCCTTGTTGGCGCAGTATGTTTCACTAAATGAGAACATACGGAGAACGTACCGGTGGTCGATCGCTACGAATAAAACGGGTGGCGTTGTGTTTTTGCTCTACTGTTGCCATTATCTGGGAACAGAAAAAAACAACTGGGAACTGAAAGAAGCTTTGGGAAGCGGGGCAAGATGTGAGGCTAGACCAAAATGGCTATGGGCTGCACAAGGGGCAAAGCGAGCTGATAGCGAAAAGAGAACGGAAAAGCTTGAAGCGGAGGTGCAATCTGAGGTCTTTGAGCTGCTAATACTTTGAAGAGGGCCGCATCCGACCAGTCACTGTCTGAAGCTGATTCATCCCGTAGTAGCGACATTGGCAAAACTCATGTAAAGCGAAATTAAATCAAAGGCATATTCGGGGTAAAGGGAAGCAATTTCTCCACAGAGTCGGGGTGGCCATCTACGTCGTCGACGTTCTCCTCCACAAAATCGTTTCGACTCTAAAGCAGCAATGCGAGTATCCGTTGTAGTAGTAGCTGCTTCATTTGTAAGAATAAAGATGACTGCTATAACGATGGGTGCCTGGTTATGCTGCTGCTAATGGCATTTGCGGTGATAGCAGTCAAGTCTGCCGCTTTGAGGAGGCAGCACCTGGGCAAAACTACATACGCGCGATGCTGGCCGGCGGGCATTTGTCAGGTGGTTGATAGGAAAACCCTGGCGAGCGAATCTAAGCAGGCGAAGAACAGGACGTTGCTACGATGATCATTCAGCTTTTTTTAACAGATTTGGCGTAGACACATTATCCGGTAAAAGGGAGAGACACAAATAAACGACATCTATAGGCGTCCGACCCATTTGTCAGCAAGGGAGGTACGGCTGGTTCCTCGTAACAGCCCTATTTCCTGGCAAACAATAATTGACGATGAAAAGAACAACTGGATTAGTGATAAGCTCTAAAAGATGCAAGAAAAAAGAAAAAAAAAAAACTACGATTTTTGAAGATCCATATTCGGAATTTTGTTACCCTGATTAAATTTAACATGGCTAAATCTTAGAATGGACTTTGAAAACCATCCAACTTCTTACGACAAACTTGGAGCCAACTATAACGTATTCCATTCCTCGTATTGTACGCTGTTATAAGAAGACGGCTGCAGCTAATATAGGTAGACCGCTTTCTGAAATGTAAAAAGACCTGATGCGTCTGCGACCAATGAAGACTCTTATGTGGTAGGTGAAATCGCTGCGGGTAACGAAAAATTATACGAACTTCATCGCCCTCTCATTGCAGCTTGTAGTCGCTTGGATTGGGGGATAAAAGAAAATTATAACATAAGCTTCAGCATGGGCGTTCTAACGTTCAGTGCTGTTGTACTGTTCCTCCTACTATCAATCCACTGGGCCTCTTGGCTCTAGTGTCGCGTTTAGGCATTTTATCAGACGGTTGGCTCCCACCTCGGAACAAAGTGAACCTGGACCAAATCGCGCCCCAAAAATCAGTAGCGAAAACGTTATCCGTTAAGCTGGCACAGGGACGAGGCAATAAAAAAAACTGGCCCGTATACTGATGAGGATTACTAGCACAGATTGCCATTAATCATATCTACTCCAGATGAACCGTTACAGCATTTGACATCGTGCTTCTGGCATACACGGAACTGTTAAACTTTCTGCATTCAGATCCTATGTATGCTAGCCTTTGCCCCCATTAATAGATAGCGCGTGTGCGAATTCTATTGTATTTATTCAAATAGTGCTTAACTGTATTTCTCAACGCTTTTCATGTTGACGAAGAAGAACAGATTAAATTAAGTCGAACTATATTGCCCCTGTGTTTAGTAGGATAAATATTTATCAGCAGTCTGCATAATCAGGCCAAATTGATTGGACATCGTTCATCAACCCAGCCAACCTCTTTTATCCTAGCCGTGTGCCGTAATAGTTAATTCTAAAGTAAATAACTTTTCAGCATTTTTCCTTGATGAACTTTTCCCTTGATGCTTTAGATAATCGCGAGGAAAACATACGTTCGTTCACCTTTCCGTTTTTTTAGTATATCGATTTTATTCGTTCGCAAAAACAATATGAACAGTAAATTGTTACCGCCAAAGATAATAACAGCGGCAAACCCGCGAAATTTTGATCATTTCTAGCGCAATTTAGAATTGTAGCGTTCCGATAAAGCGTGTATATATATATATATATATATATATATAACAGAAATTCAAATATGCAATTAAAAAGTGAAGCCCTTCAGTTTCGAACTATGGTCAAGCAGTCCATGGGATAGCTTAACGGGTAATGAAGTTGCCTGCCTATATATATATATATATTAGTCTATATATATATTTATATATAGAGTTGTCGCATAATGTATCGACTTTAATTTTGTCGAGTCCATGTTGGTACCACTTCAAAGTTGAGATTTACCAGTAGAAGTAGATGTACTTAATAGAGCCTTTATTTGAGCTACAAATAAAGCGCTCTGGAGACGAGTGAAATTTGCTTTAATTTACCATTTTTCCTTATAGTAAGGGCAACACGCCCAGGCTCTTAAAAACAATCGGTACTGTTTGTGGGTGTATAATCAGGTGCGTGATCGGAAGAATCAGCCCAAAAGTGATTCGGTCGCTTTCGTTCTGGAAATATAAATGTGAAAGATGTTCCTCGTAGTGGGCAATCATCAACTGCAGAGAAAATTGATGAAATCATAGCGATGGTCGAGCAGGACCGACACGTGAGTATCCATCGTGAGTATCGTCAACGATCACCTGAAAATGTTCCAATCTATTTGAAGACGGCTGGTTATAGGGAGAAAAAAAAGCCCAATGTTTGGGTGTCTCGCGAGATGAAGCGAGACTATTTACACGACCATTGTTCCACCGGCAACATCCCGTGACGAGAGTGAGCCAATGCTAAAACGGTTGATCATAGAGAGTCGATACGATAATAATAATACATAACGAAACTACGTGCAAATAAAACGAATTTTAAGAATACTTAGCAATCTGCGGCAAAGCCCAGACTGACTTTAGGGAAGGGGGTGCTGTGTGCCTGCTGAAATTGGAAAGGGAAGGTGCATTACAAATTCTGATTCGAACCTCTACCCTCAACAACATGTACACACATATGGATGTTGTTGTTGTTGTTGTTGATAGTAGAAGTTTGACTGTATACATGTATGTATATTTCATCTTTCTTCTATTTTTCTGTTTTTCAGACGTACAGCGATGATATCGGCGAAGAGGCATCGCCCTCGCCCCCTCTTAGCCCAGAGATGGCGGTTGGAGACGTGAATGGGGGCATGGGTGGTATGGTAGGCGTGGGCAGCCTCGGGGTCGGACACTACCTTGCTGTTCGAGCCGGTAGTGGAACTACGGGTGGTCAAGCAAATGCTACTGGCCAACGGGGCGAACAGGGCTCCCCGCGACGAGTGTGCCTCGTCTGTGGGGATGTCGCGTCGGGGTTTCATTACGGCGTTGCATCGTGCGAAGCTTGTAAAGCATTCTTCAAAAGGACCATTCAAGGTAGGAAAAAAGCTAAATGCAGGAGATAAAGAGAATGTAGAAGTTGAAAAAAGCGCTGGTTGGTAGCGAGTTGGCGTCCATTGGCATTGCAGTCTCCATGCGAACGTTACCATAGAGATTGGGTGGACTTTTATGCCATTATGTCAATCGTGCGCAGGGTGTGAACTGAATCATTGGCTAGATCTATAGGGCACATGCTGTCATTATTATACTTTGCGATTATTTTACGGATAATAAGCTACATCTAGTTAGGTGGACGAGGCGGCTTAACTAATAAACGCAAGATAAGACAGGCTGTTAGTATTTGCTTTAAGCTCAATTAATATAGCAATCATATTATCTCATAAGTGGTACATCGGATGAAATTAAGGTAAGACATCGTTGTACGAACAGACGCCCCAACGAGAGGTGATATTCTCGTCCGCGATGTACTATCTAATAAGTGATGTGATCATTTTCATTATGTTAGTTCGAGATCGATTAGGCGATAATACCAATTCGGTAGTATAATGTTCGATTCTATACGTAGGCACAGTGGGGTTTTTGTTCTGTCACCGTGAGCACAGGATTTGCTATCAGTGTCTTCCAATGCAACCGCTACAGACAAATAATCACGTTTTCATATGGAAGTTAATTCATGCCCCAGCCAGGAAGGAGTACGAGACGCATTCAACTTGATTTATCTATACAATAAAGGTGCCTGATCCCACATTGCTTATATGCCTCGAGCGAATTTTCGTTCCATCTGGCAGTCCTTCAAAGCATCCTATTTTTCACGCTACTCGCTGATTCCGCCTCTTTTTTCCACCATAAAGTCTAATCAGCCTGTGGACAGCATTAAGGCAAACGTGTGTTATGATAGACGAACGGACGGACGGACGGACGGACGGGCCAACGAACGAGCAGCTGTTCACCTGGTGAAGGAGTACAGGCGCCTATGGACGGCAATCCTTTGCTCGTACCGTAATGTAAAGAGGCATGTGACAAAAGGTTAGGTCTTTTCTAGGAAGGCGTCTTCTAGAAGAGGCGTTTGAAATCTGCTGGCAGAGAATATCAGAGAGCTTCGGCGCAGTGAGTGTTGAAATTTAGAAAATGGAAGGCCGTAACTACAGGGGGGGCAGGTCTCGCCAAAGATGAAACGACAACAAGATAATGGAGAAAAAAGCTAAGGCAATAAAGGAGAGGGCTGTTCATACTTGGACTTCTTGTTTGCTCTACAAGGCTTGGCAGAAGGACAAGTCAGGCTAAGCTTATACAGCCTTGTACACTTTATACGGACTAGAAAGCTCTGGAAGTGCTCTTCGAAAGGTTGAGGGGACCCCACGCACGGAGGACTTCTCCAGATTAGTGGGAATCAAACAGGAATTAAGGGAGTAGCCAGAAAACAGCGTCGTTGAATGTCGACTACGAGAGAGAGTCGAATAACAAGATCGCCGTTCCAGGCATCGTGGTCTTCAAGTGAGAGACAGCAGTGAAGAAGCCAAGCTAACTCTAGAGAACTCGGAACAAAAGAACGCGCGGTTTTTCGCAATTTTTATAGTTCAAAAGTCGAATTAATGTAATGGGAACAAAATTCAACCCAGATAAAAAGGAATTGTTGGAAGATGTTTGAGTCATACACATACGTACTATACGTTGTTGGCGTAACGTGAACCCGTAAAATTCAACTATATGTTTGTGTGTGCACGTCTTCGCAGACGATTTATTTTAAAAATGGTTTAAATGGCCAGATCTAAGCTCGAACCGAACCATGTTCTTAGGGAAAAAAACAAGCGACACTTGTATGTGGGGACAGAGGTCCTAGAAGACCTAGAGTGATCCGCCGAAAATGAAGTCGATGGAAGTTGTGATTTTGCAGGGATCATCAGCACTAACAAAAATAATGGTCTGCCTTTTCGTTTGTTGTAAGAATAGATTGTCGATCGAATCAATTTCGGCTTTCTCCCCGACCCAAAGAACTTAAAGCTTTGCAGTGGAAGACACTGCTGCCTTGTGGATTGTGGGTGGAAAGAAGGAACGTCGTTCATCGGCTAAGAAGAAAGAGGGTACGGATTGTACGAGGGATGTTTCAGCGAAGAATTTCGAGAGCGAATGGCATAATATGGGGGGGGGGGGGGGGGGTAGGAATAGTTACAAAGGCCGTGTAAGGGGCGAACACAGTGAAGGCATAACGACCAAAAAAGAAAAGAATGTGGGACGAAAAAATCAATGAAAATAGGTAGACCGACCCATAACGTCGTCTATTCACACTTCAAGGACTGACAATTTCCCTTTCTGACTTTTTGTTTGTTTGGTTTTCTTTTCTTTTATGGATACAGGTCGATTTTGCGTTTTCTGGTAGAGAGGAGCCTTAGTATGATTTATAGGCATTTTGAGTGTTTATCCCTTATAGCAGAATTAGGCGCTGCTTTACTGTCTGCTCTTTATTGCGCGACCTTATGCGCCATATTTGATAAAATAGCACTACGCGTAAGGTTGCTGCATCTTCGAAAAATAATCTTTTTCATCGATTTAACCACAAAGAGTTTCAAATGCTTTTGTTATTCGGTTTATTCTTGGTCCGCTTTTAAAGCTACGGCCATGAGACCATCGGAAGCTATTAGGTTTAAGTGGTGTCGGAGGATCACTTGTGACAGGTATGCCGATCCTGGCCGTTTAAAATGGCCTCAAAAATGTCTCTTTTAAAATTAGGTTACTATAAGTGCATTGGCACGGCTTTAGCACATCACGAAACGGAATATCTGTTACATGCCTTATCATGTCGTATCATAAGATGCCTAGCTGTCAATTACTGTCTCACTTCAGGCTCTGTTAAAGATTCAGTTAAAAAGCTATTATCTCAGCTGCTACTTTCCTTGATGCTATAGCTACATGGTTCAGGTTTGTGCTTTTGATGGCCAGTTTTTGTTCTTAAACTTCTCTTTATTTTCTGGCACGCCAAAAGATCTTCTGTAAACTCGGAAGGTCCATCTTCACCTTTTCACAAAATTTATTTGACTCTGACATCGACATTTGCTCGACACTGAGTGAGCCAAAGAATTTTTACGTTAATTCAGGCTTGTTGGGAAGTCCGGGAGTGCATAATAGATGCTGTTATTGGCGTTTAGTGGCTTAATGCGTATGACGGGAGGTATTAGGATTGACGGATATGACGCGTGTTTTAATTCGAATTCCTCCTTTATTGTACAAAATCGCGGACCGCCTTGCCCCTATATAAGAGCGTTTATTAACTTTGTTTACAAATAAACAGATCACAGACTTTATTAGCATGACGATTTATGTACCAAGGGTCGGGTCACGCTTCTTTTTGCATAATATATCACCTAATTTCCTATAGTTCACGCACGAAAGGGTTGTGTCAAAAGCAGGTCTTTTAAAAGCACGGCCTTCAGGGCTAAACATGATTTTGAATATAAACTTCAAAGCAGCCACCTTACGTCTAACTTTCAGACAATTTGCAAACATGATTGTGCTGAACTTCTTGCAACTTTCGAAATAAGTCAACTCATATAAATCCAAGGAACGGAACATGAAGAACTCCTTCCCATTATTGGGGTAATAAGTGAGCACGTTATGCGTTATCTGCTCTCGTTCTGCTGAAAAAAAAAGTTGAGCTAAGAAACACAATATCGAAAATTCTAAGCAATGATATTTTGATATGCTATAAAAAATGTAATTACTGAGTTATAGTCGAAGTACCGATATAGTTCAATGGACGCAGTTGTTGTGGGTAAATTAGTATTATCAAACAATTAAAAGGTTCTCAAAGAAAGCGCAAACTTTATCCTAGCGCTTTGTTGGGTTTTGCTTCAGGTAATATCGAATACACGTGTCCAGCTAACAACGACTGCGAAATCAATAAGCGTCGGCGTAAAGCGTGCCAGGCGTGTAGATTTCAGAAGTGCCTCAAGATGGGCATGCTTAAAGAGGGAGTACGCCTTGATCGTGTTCGTGGCGGTCGCCAAAAATATCGACGCAATCCTGAGGGTCCATATCAGGTTGCAGCGCAACCCGTTAAACGTATCTCGATTGACGGTGAGTATTATGGGTTGTACCGACGTTTTAGGACTGCACGCATAAGCATATATTCACAGAGTATTGTCGAGATGTTTTTTATCTGGCAGACATAAGTTGGCTACAGGAGACCTATTCACGGATTTTTCTGTAATTTTGTTCAAATTCTGAATACCGCGACCGGTTAACAATTGACGAGTTACTACGCTAGATCAGTTTACTGCTGATTCATTTAGCTATTAATTTACTGATAGTTTGGTCTGCGCGATTTGCGACATGCGTAAGTATCCGTTTATGACGTGTGATTTCTAGGCGTCTAAGCTGCAAAAAATGTACATGAGATTGGCACGTGGGGATTACAGTGTGTGAATGGGCCCACAATCAAAGTGGTATTTTGAGCGGTGGAGAGAAAACGAGCTGGGATAGATGGACCGCTAGGGGCATGCGACAGCCGTACGTGATCGTGCGGCTGTTTCGTCCTCTCAGTGCATGAAAACGTGCTTAGAAACCTAATGAAGAGGCTCCTCGAAATCATTCCTCTTCCTAAGCTCGTGCTAGCCCGGACGCTTACCCTGAATCTTTCCCCTGCCCTCTCTTATCTTGCCGCTAGCAGCATCAGCCAGAGCTGGCCCGGTCGCAGGGTTCCTTCAGCTATCGGAACAACAAAGAGACACTGCTTTGTCGGTGTCCACCGTTATAGGCCAGTCACTATTTGAAAACTAGAGGTTCGCTTGCCTTTTACCGCTCCGCCCCCCCCTCGATCCCAAAAACAGTTTGGACACGTTCAGAGATACAGTAGCTACAATGTGAAAGGAACGCGTTGCTTGGAATATATGCAAAATGATTTTATCACAAGTCGATAAAGCATTCAATATATACGTTTTAGTATTAAAATTTCATACAAACTTTCGATAGTATTGATTCATTTCCAAAGAGTTTTTGCTGATATTACCACGACCACAAGGCAATTTCAACCATTGGTTACATGTGATACGAGGTACCGTGTACAGTATGTAACCAATCCCATAAACGACTTAGTTTCCCATGGGTCTGCTGACTTTGGTTTCATCAAACAGCAGCTAAGCTTTGATGAACGTGCATTATAGCTTACATCCAGGTTTCACAGATGGATTATCCTCTGCGTGTAGAACTACTGCTTGCTTTATAGTTAGAAACCCCATATCGACGCTCATTCCATTGCGACGTGTATAGCTACTCCTGTCCCGAAAGTGTCAATTATTTTAATTCCATTCAAAAACATCATTATTTTTCATTGTTCAAAGGAAGCAAATCGTGGTTCTTTTTTACGGGGTACGAGAGGCTCTATGTTGATAAAGACATCCTGGCGTGAGGTGCTATCGAAGCCTGCTACAACAAAAATTCTCTTTTGGGGTGTTAAAAACGCAGTTCTATCCTGTTTGGCAAGCGTCGACTGCAAAGAAAATATAGCATAGTCTGCTAGATATGTGCTAAACATGTCATAAACAATTTCGAATATGTCGATATAATTATATAAATTATGTTCATTTTAAAGTTTGTTCGTTGTGCCAGCAGGACGTTCTGGAATACTACGCAACTCTTAATCGACACATTTGAGCCTATGCACGTAAAATCTGTGTCCCATTTGTGTTGTTCGTCATAAACAGTATAGTAAATTTAATACGGTAGGCTTTCTAGTGGTACTCCATGCAGCATCGACATGTCGTGGCAACATACCTGTCTCTATTGATTTTCGAAGAAATTCCCTACATGAAACGAGACTTAAGAGCGACTAGACACACCAAGCGCGTGGTTTTAGGCGCAATACGGTATATCTATGCCTCAGGCCTCTAATTCGTCACAGGAACTTTCGTTCGGTACCTCTCGTGCAGAGCTAGCGGAACTCTCGATAAAACGCGAATGTTAAAGGTACAAAAAGGCCGGCGTTCACCTCATTCGAAAATCAGCCGATGGGACATAGGTGATTTCAATGAATGAATGAATGAATGAATGAATGAACGAGGAAATGTTTTCTAAGTGCCAGCTAAAAATGCAGAATACGGTAGAACACGTGAAACCACGGTGTTGTGGGATACATGTGTCGTTAGGTAGCAATTTGCTTGGGAATCCGTATCAACTAGTTTCTGTGACTGCATGTCGTAGCACTAATGATCTCCAAATTTAGCCACCTCTCCGGTAACCTTAAGGCCGCAGGAAATTACAACATGACCTATTCCAGTAATTACAGGTAAAAAAAAAAATTGCAAGCAATAACCTGATTGTGAAATGTCGGCTGCTTGTTCAATAGCGAATTCCTTTTTGCTGTTTAGTTAACAAGGCAAGCTAACGACGACACTCCATTGGCTATATATATATATATATATATACAACCAAAAAGAACCCGTGATTATGTCTGCGCCCGTGCTATATGTGCCATAGCTGAGCCTACCAAGTTAATAATCGATCTCAAAACAAAAAATATTCCACGACTAAGAAAAATTTTGGCGAGAAACATTGTGTGAGTGGACAAGATTTACACAGGAACCTCAGCGAATTCATAGCACGTCGTTGGAGGTGCTCTTCTTCGACGACAGAGAGCACGTATAAGTGGGAGGCAACATAACGCCTGCTGAAAATTAATTTGAGATTTTCCGAAAATAGTTACTGCAGCCGCGTAGTCGCATTGTACTTGTCCACAACAATTGACTTTCATAGTTAGCTATCGCTGCTAGTGGCGATCATTATAGGCATACGCAAACTAAAGAGTTTTTTTCACTAAACTGTGCTCACCTATTTTCATGCAAGTTCCCATTATCATGCACATTTCCATAACCGCTAGCGAGCGACCAACTGAACTTTTGGAATGGCCTGGTTTGGACACGCTGTGACAAAGTTTGCCAAGTGTTTCTGTCCAGGACACTTAAGTACCTCCAGGAAGGCGGCCGAATAGAATAAGGTCAGCGACCGCAACTATTTTTGCACTGTAACACAGTAACGTGCAGAATTGACATTTGCTGTGATACGTTAGCCATTTTCAGCTAACAAGCAAACATACTTCCGTAGTGGCGCCTTTTGTTTGCATGAAAGACGCTTCGTTTCATGGTATAAGAATTCACAGTATAGAAGAAGGACAGTGTTGCTATATCGTAACGGCTAAGTAAAATGCGTGATTGGCTTTTGGTTGAACCACGATCATCCGAGGTAGATTTCGCTGATCGTCTACTGCCTGTAAGTAAGTGTCTTCTCTAGCCGCTGTTCTGACGAAAATATCAGCTTGATAGGGCTACCATCGTACTGTTCTCCAGAACGGGACGAACTGGAGCAGAAAAGCTGAACCGTTCGGCGAATCCTAGACATCACTTTACCTGAGCCGAGTAGGTCGTTGGAGAAGAGGTGGTTTCTTTTTTCTCACGTTTCTCCTGATGCCTCCGCGACGCCTCGCAAATGGTTAGATGAGGCACAAAAGATAACGGGTGAAATTGCAAAAAGAACAAGAAGTTCTTTGTTTTGTTATGTTGAACTTGTTCAGTTTAACTTGTCGAGTTTCGCCATGTGTACAAGATAGAACAAAGGTGATACTTGTGAGCCAATCGGGAAAGATAAAAAGCTATGCCACTAGAGGAAATGGCCTAGCAGATTAGATTGGGGAAACTTCGAAGAAATGTAGAAAAAAGGTCTGCTTACCTGATAAATTGTACAGATCAAGCTGGATAGCTTTGATTTGTCAGTAAAACGAATTAGTTAGACACACTACAGTAAATGAAATTGCTATAAACGAACACAAAAGGACTTGTCAAATACCGCCCTTGTCAAGCTTATATTTCGGAATCAATTTAAAATTAGTTATGTTTTGAGAAAAACTGACCCATCCACGTAGAATTCCATTTTTTTTTTTCTATACTTTTATCGAATGGTTAGCGCCATTGAATACTCACAGAGAGGTGGGCTCTGTGTTACGGCTGAATCCGGCTTTCCTGTTGATCTTCCCAAACTGAGCTATTACGTAATGTCCTTAATACGGAAGTGGTGATACTAAATATGCGACAAAAGTGTATTCGACCGATAGTTTCATCAAACGGCGAGCTCAGATGCAACGAAAACTGGAATATTACGTACGTACATGCCAGCCCTTAGGCTTGTTATTATATGGGACTAATTTTCTTATGTCGACAATTGCACCTGCACAAATACAATTCTCGCTTAGCTATTCAGTATCAATTTCCCAGCCTGCTATCTAAATGCCAGCGGTAACGGCTTGGTCGGGAAGGCTCCCTTTGTATCGCATCGTTTCGGCCACGTTTTCCAGTTACTTTGAGCGCATCCCAACAGCGGGCGGAACAGGTATCGCCATTACGGTCAATAAGCGAAAGTCCTCTGCTCTCTTCTTCGTTCATCAGAGGAAAACAGTCAAAAGAGGACTAGATACAAGTGTAACTACTTGATCCGCAATGCTGTGGCGCACCGCGGGAACGCTGGATGCGTCGGTGTGAGGTTGTGTAGGCTGATAAGCGCTGTTTTATATAAAGGAGAAAACAGCGAACACGAAGACCAAGAACAATGAGCTGCTTTCTGGGTCTCGGGGGTTGATTGCGATCGTTGTAGTAGCAGCGGTGGGAAAAAGCCTATGGTTCGAGAGAACTGTTATTGACTATAAATCCTAATTAGAGTTGTTAAAATTCCCACTAATATGTGCCCGTATATTACTTCGTTGATAATCGCTTAAAGGGCAAAATAATTACGAATTCAATTTTGCATCCTGCCTATTTATTAGCATTCGTATAGAGACGAGCATTTTTCTTCACATCAAAATGGTATTAATATCGACATGGGACTAGTGCATCTATTATGAGGAATCGCTTGGTCCTAAGCGCGGCCAATACAATGATGATTAACGCTAGGATATAACACAGTGCTAAATGTATAGATAATCCACGTTCTGCTACAACAAGAAAATGCAGTAGTTCCAATGCTTTCAGTTTCCTTGTGTATGGACTTTATCGTTGCACTAAATACTATGTGTATAAGGCTAATACATGGACGAAAAGCTAGGTACATACTGCCATTACAACGTTTGCGACCCTCCGCGGCATCATAATCGTAGGTACTGTAGGAGTTTTCCATTATGTTAACCATCCGCAACGTTGCCGAACGGATTTTATGATCGGTGACGCGAATTCGTTGCACCATGAAAGTTAATCGGTTACAACATCCGGTAGTTGTTCTTCATTTATATGCCACATGTATAGAGATACGAGCGTAGAAGGTAGTTAAAATAAGTTCTATGATTCTGTTATGTGTTCTATTTTTCACTTTGACAGAAAACACGATTATCTCAGCGTTACTGAGTTGCGAGCCAGAGCCGTTATCAATTCGATTGTCTGCGGTAAACAACAATGCATCATTACATGACCCGTCGGCAGCACTGGCAGCCCTCTCGGACATCATGGACCGCGAGCTAGTCAATACAATTGGATGGGCCCGACAGATACCGGGCTTTAGCGCCCTCAATCTCGATGACCAGATGCGCCTATTACAGACCTCTTGGGCTGAAGTCCTCTCGCTGTCATTGGCTTATCGGTAGGTCATAACGTCTGCGTTTATCCACGTGGAGTATTATAAATATATATATACACATACGTATGGATGGAACATCTACGCACAGAACGGAACGGAAGCGGTGGGCAGAAGTGTAAACGCAGAGATGGGAAAATGTAGGTTTCCAATTGATTTCTATGCTACTTCTGCGTTTTTCATAATCATAAACTTGAACACTCTGTTCTTGCTCCACTTTGTGTATTTCTACATGCTTACATATATGGGACACTACAGTTGACGTCCGCGACGTCATTTCAACAACTACGCAAATCCAGTTATGAGCTCAGTCGCTCCTACTAGAAAATACTATCTAGCGACGTCATGGGCAACTCTTAACCACCTCAGTCTAATGTGAATCTTCTTTTTTTGCTACCCTTCAATTCAGTCGTGGTTAATATCGTATCGTTATACGATAATAATCAAGTAAATTATGCTGATAGTTTATTTGATGTTTTCTAACCTTTTTCCTTATACTATTTTTTACTAATTTTTTTTTCAATAGAGTAATGATCTTCTACGGGTGGGCATACCATTAGCATTCTAGCGCATTTGTTCTTGCTACGTGTTATTTTTAGAGACATTGTACTACTTGTCAAGACTGCAGGCAAGGGTTTCACTGGCCCAACTGGCTAAATGTTTTTACCCATAATTTGCTTCGAAGTTGCTCGAATAGTTCAAAGTGTACTTTTTTTTTTGTTATCTGTAGAATAAGGGGCAGCGAATTCACTTTGCACGAATGTTTCATTCTATAAGATGTCTTTTCATGTTTGTTTTCTATTACATTTGTAAGAAGTGAGTGTAGAAGTGTATTATATATATATATATATATATATATATGTATATATATGTATATACGCAGTATTCTTTTTTGCTTATAAGAAATCGCTTTCGAACCGGGCTGTCCATAGAACGGTGCTGGGCTAATTGACTGGCTATATAGGCAGACTTTAAAACTGGTGTGGATCTGCCAGCATCTTTCTAGCTTGACTCAAAGTTTAGCGGAGACCTTCATCATGTAGTGACCGTTACGCCCTTCTAAATATGGCCTACTCGTAGACATCTACTTGAAGTTTTGTTCACCGGCTCACTAGATAATATGGCAGTCGATGTGTAACGGTTATCTTGTTTAAGAATGCCTTTGACCGGTTCATGAAGAAGAGCCATAGCAATGAGCACCTGCGCCACCTACCTCTGAAAACGATAACGATATTTCTTGTTCTTTTTTAATCAACAATTAGCTGTACGTATTGGTTTCATAAATTAATTCGCCCAGAAGAGTCAGAGAACTCTTTTTGAAGCAGATAAAAATACCTTGTAACAACTTTTGCATTCATTGAAGTTTCGAAGGGTGTCTGTCACTCCTTAGTTGAAGTGTAGTACTTCTACGAAACAGTGTGTTATATGTGACGAGAAACGACATAATCAAGTTCGAATAATGCTTGCATTCGTTACCGGCATTACGGAAGATCCTGCTACACTCGATAGCAACACGTTAACACCAAATTGCTATGTGGTTAGATAAAGTTTGAACATGAGGAGAAAAACCTGCCAAATACAAATGACAAAAAGACCCGGAAGGGCATAAAGCTAGAATTGGCGGTGACAGATTAACGAAAGAAGGAGCGTAGGAATACTGAACAATAACGTGGAAAGGCGTTGTTTTTCAAACGCGCGCCTCAAGCGACATTAGAATTACCCTTTGCTCGGTACATTCGTACGGCTGATACAAGCATGGGTAAGCACATCCCTAATTTAGTGTAGTTGAGGCAACTGGTGTCAATAACTTTTCCGGAATAGCTAGCTCTTGGAGACAGATCCTTAAATGAACTGTTTCATGAGCTTATGGAGACTCTCTTCAGTGCTTCCAGAGAGGCAAATATTGCGTACCAGGTTAGGTTTCGAACCCGAACTCACTGACGTGGTAGTGTGCTGAAGGAGGCACGGAGATGTTCAGATGGCATTTTTAAAACAAGCCAGCGGACATTGTAAAAGAAAAAATCCTGTTTGTTTTAATATAACAGAGAGAGAGAGAGAGAGAGAGAGAGAGAGAGAGAGAGAGAGAGAGAAAGTTTGAAAACGAGCCTATGACGAGCACGTGACTTCTTGTTTGCCAATAGCACTAGCAAGGCTAGATAAATCCAACATGAGATTCGATCGCAGTGACGTCAGATAGCTGAACTAATGTTAGCTTGGTGGCTGGATTTCTACGAGGTCAGTAGCCGTTCAAACAAAATGTCTCAGATAGGTCAGTATAAGTCTGTGTGTGCGAAAGGTGTGGTAGTCTGCTGCGGCATTTCTGAAATCTGACTGTTTCGAAGCAGCTCGAGTCATCAATTTAACCCATTTAATGAACCCCTTACTACGATGTACTGAAAAGCACACACGAATGCATTCGTAGATCGGCCGAGGTATTCTCTTTTTCCTTACTGGCGCCAGACACAGCTAATGGCTCATATTTGGGCCTGTTAAACCATCTATGAGCTTTCCAAAGCGTCCGATATAAGCCTTTGACACTACAGATATGTCATTTCTCTACTAGAGAATTAGCTGGAAAAAGACACAATGCGTACCCTGTTAGGCAAGCGGCTTCTCTAAACTACGACTATAGACAAGGATTACTTCCGCATGGCAAGGCGAGGTTTTGTTACCTTTCTTAAAAAGTGTCTGAGCTAAACCCCGGGGCATCGAGAAACTTGAAAAACAAGAGAAGTAAGAAGAAAACGTTAAGCCTGGATCAGAATTCGGGCTCAAAAAGAGGAGTTAGAAAGAGTTCCATTAGGTAAGATAAGAAAGGGATGAAGAAAAGTTCCGTGGAGGAAAAAACGCAACGGTCGCCTACTGATCCTCCTCTTATTGCTCTTCGCGTGTACCTGAGAGGTTTGTTAGATATGCAGATGCATGTACAAGCGCACTATAAAAATGAGCAGTAAATCTTTTCATCGTCTACAATGTTTTTTGCGGTATTTCAATAAAGTACAATATCTTTGAAGGGAAATTACTATACTTAAAAACACCCTGGTCGTAATGCTCACTGCCCAAATCGTATTGAAAAATGTACGAATTCGGAAACGTAAGCAACTCCTTTCCAATCACAAATCTATGAGTTATTCTGTAGTTTTTTTTTTTTATAGATATGCAAGCGGCACATGAGAAAACCCAGTATATTTCTTTGAACAAACCCGGACCTCATTACTATCAAGTGAACAATTGCTTTATATATCTAGAAATAATGCTGAAAGAATCTGCTCCTGTCTACCGAAAGTACATAGATACACTTTCATTTATAGAAATTATGCTTCTTTCCAATTTATGTGAAGAACTCGATATTCAATAGAAAAAAAACGTTTTCTCACCATATAAACTATCTTATTTGCATTTGCGAACGTACTTCCTGCTGGAGAAGCAAACTTTTAGACGAGGAAAATGCTTGCCCAACATGGCTCAGGCCACTGCTACCGAAGCCTTTGTCTGAAATTGTACCAGTCCATACTGCAGTGGCTTAATGAACGCTCCGTAGATTGATGAGTTGATCCTTGTTTCCTACTGCAATGTCAGAGCACAACGGTTCTGTTTGTAGAATAGAGAGATAGAGGTAGAACAGCCGGAGGTGTACTGATTCACTGTAGGGCCTGCTTGAACAACGAACAACGGCGCCAAATATAGTAGCTTTTCCTATACGTAATGTACATTTAGTGCGGCACTCGTATACTTAGCGCGTATATACTGTGCGATTACGTGTGTATCTTGACATTATTAGGCTATGTTACGACGGACTTTTACTAATGGACGCGTGCCTAACGTACGCGACGATTTGGAACGTCAAGCTATTTGAACCATAAAACAGAGAGACATTTAGCTAATTATTCAAGTATCTGCTGCGGTATTATTGCTCAATTAAAGCTTCATACGAAAATAATCAATTGGTACTTTTTGCAATCAGAAGCCTTCTGTGATTGTGCTGTGTAATACGAAAAGGTCGTTATAAATAACCTAGGTCTACATACGTCACCTGAGGCTAGGTAACGACCTCTAAGAATTGTTCAGCTCGCCGAACTTTTCTAATGATGCAAACGTTGCATTTTTCGATAGATGTCAGCTCATTGGTCAACCTCTGTAACCTACTGGATTACTTTCATGTCGATCGAGATGTTTCATTGACGCAAAGCAAGTTAGGAATGCATAGAACCTTTTTTCCGCTTAATGATTTTTATAATTTTTCTGGCCTTTTTATCCTAATAGGCCGAAGGGTTTCCTCCATATTAAACCTGTCCATGTCGCGCCGTTTTGACAACGATTATAATTGTGCTTATGAATTTAATAATAATAATGTGCTTAAATGTGATATTGCGTGGTGGGCGATATCAGAATCACAGCTGAATTTACAAAGAACTCGATAGTATCTTCCAGCTCTAATTATTTCTCGTGCCGTTCGATAACATTTCAGGTCCACGAATTCGTTAGACGCTTTGAATTACGCGGTAGACCTGAGCATCTCAATGATACAAGCCGAAGAGATGGGCCTCGAGGATGTGTTTCTGCACACCAAACATCTTGCCCAGCGACTGGAGGCGATCCGCGTTCAAAAAGAGGAATTTCTTGCACTAAAAGCGATGGCCCTCGTAAACGCCGGTAAGTATTGCGCGCTTCATCTACCATATGTCAGTTCAGTGATAAAAGATTGCTGGTAAATAAGTAAGTTCAGCACAAAAGTTCATCGGAACATGTGTGAGGTAGCTCATCCCTTGGTGTATTTAGACGCAGTTGTATTCCTGTGTGATACTGTGTGACAGCATTTTTAATCTATAGTACGAACAGCATAATAGTAGAAGGACATGCATTTTCTGCGCATAAAATCCGATAGAACTAAAGAAATAAAGTCACGGTAAGACTGCGGGTTGACAAAAGATGTACGTGATCTCTTAGGCTTGATTCGACCGTTTCCATTATATTTGTGCGTATAATCTGATCATTCTGAGATCTACCTAAGACGCAGCGTTGGATTGTATAGTACTCGCTCGAATGAACTCAGAACCCTAGGAGAAGGCCGCTGCTAAGTGAAAGAACAGATAGACCTGGAAGCGTTTCGCACGTAGACACCTCCAATGTTTTGCGTTTCTGGGTTTAGTATATCAGCCTTCGCCGGAATAGGACAACAGGACCTGTTACGGAATGGCCTAGCTAGGGACCAGGCCATAGTACATGCAAGACGAAAAGTTTGATGTTCCATGGCAGGGCTATAGGGTGTCCACGAACTATGAGTTCTTACCCCCATTTGCTCGTACTTGTATGAGCAGATAGGCAACAGCTATCCGTGCAGTCCACCAAGGTCGTTACTGTTGACGTCACAAATGAACGGCAACACCGGCTACTCGCGTGGGGTGAGCAAAATCAAAGAGAGCTTCGTTTCCGAGGAAAACATACGTGATGACAAGCCGACTGGAAAAACCTCATCGCAACAACTGGTGGCTCCTTGTCAGCTGTCATCCTTTCTTTTCCCTACTGTCAATCGGCGGAGTTTGACAACTTCGCGGGTGACAACGCGGCTCATTATACAACAATGAACGACTGATAGTCGTATTAGCACCGTTAAAGGTGTCGCTTTACGAGCAGTTGACTGGCGAAGCACCCTATCACCACACCAACGGTAAGTAATAGGGCTATATTGCGGCTGGTATTGGCATTAAAGAGGACTACGTGGTAACGTCGCAATATGTCACAGACGGGAGGGAGGTGCAGGATGTGAACAGGGCAGGACACATGAATGTTGTAAGGAGGTGTGTACTATTCATTAAATGTAGAAAATTCGAGGTCTGCAGCAAAATGTTTGTTTTTCCTTAGTTCATCAGTAGAAAATATTCTGTTCAGGCATTGGCCATTGAACTTTACGTGGAATTTCAATATAGCTAGATTATTGGCGAATTATTCCTGCCAATATGACAAAGCGCACGTTTGGTATATGCTACACGAGTAGAATGTTTCAAATTCGAATTTTTTGGGGCTTACATATATGTACAAGTATGTTTATTTTATAACGTTCCATTATAAAACAACGGTGCGGTCGTCCATACGAATAACGTAATGATGGTTTGCTTACAAGAAAATGACCTCTTCCTTTATACAAACTATCTATCCTAAAGTACATGATGAAATCCTGCGGCTGGTTTACCCTCTAACCCTTTCCCCGTTCCTTTTGAAGCCATCCATATAAAATATTAGAAACGCACAAAGCTAAATAATAAGTAGATTATCACGCGTTCGTATCGTTCACGTTGAATACAAGAGGCTATTTATCAATGCAAATGGGTAAATGTGAGTCACCGTGAAGGGTGAGGGGGCATGCGAAATGAATAGTGGTAGAGACCCAACGGAGCGGGTTGGTGTTTAGTCATTGTTAGAGTCATGCAGGTAGGCGCAAGGAACATTAATGTTCCGTACCATATACTAAGGGGCCCTGCCCTGTCTGCAAGCTAAGGGAACAAGTTCACTGAACCGAATCTGTCACAGGAAGATCTGAGTATCAACAGGCAAACAAGAGAGAGACTTGGATAGAGAAAGAATAGTCGATACCGTACGACAGAGTGGCAGGAAAAGTACTCGGTGTTTTGCGTACCGACTCGAAAGGCCGCTTGGTTTACTGGCAGATACGACCGTCAAGCCGTGTCTGACGTAGATGAAAAACCAGCTTCATCTTTATCAACCATTGGTTGATAAAGATGAAGCTGGTGGCGGTAAAGAGAGACATGGCTTTCTCAAGTATGGAAAAGAGAGTCTTGTCCGTATGACCTGTAGAGCATCTAATTTATTCAAAGGGTTATTTCGACTTTTGGCAAGATTATCGCACGTTTTAACGATGCTTGTTATTTTTTAGGTGCTGTAGGGTTGAGGAATCTAAGGTGCAGAAAAACGTGGGTTGACCTCAGGTTCTGCAAAAGAAGACCCTTATTAATTAACACATATTTACACATCTACGCCCAGCATAAATGTAATAAAACAAACGTCAGAGTGGCGCAATGTTCACTTTATTTTTTGTCTTGAGGTTAAGGCGACCTAACGAAGTCGGCTGGATATCTAATTCGTATAGTACGGAATAGAGTGGCAAACAACTATTTCATTTTACTCTTGTTGATTTGACGTATGAAAGAACGCAGTTAAATACCGAGCTATGATCAAGATGTGCTTGGGTAGGCAGTGTAAAGACTATAGTCTATTGGGGTAGCAAACTTCGCGTTGTATGCCCTTTTTCAAGAGTAATTTCCGAACAGATGACAAAGAACCCGACCATCACAGAAACTCTGCGTGATAGCAGCTCGTGTATTTGCAACCTAAAGAAGAGCGACTGGCGTCCAAGAGCGAGAGATGGACGGAATCTGCTGGTACTTGGTTTTCCAGAATGTTTCTTGCTTACATCTCTGCTACTGTGTGGTGCCAGAGTGCGCCTTCAGGCATATTTATGGAAACTTCTACGACGTTCAGAAACATTGCACTGTTAAAAAAAAAGGAGAATGTCATACGATTAGTTAATCTGTCTATAATCAATTCAAGTAAATTATAGGAACGCGGTACAATAAACATCCTATATATTAAGTTGATTACTCGAAGCAATGATTGGTTATACTCGTGCTCATATAACACACATGTGTACATTTCATTTGTTTTAACATGTTAACATTCTCTAATGGAGATGAATGTATTTTTACAGATACCGCGTTAGACAATACGGCGGCTGTAGGAAAACTTCGCGAGGCAATCAGTCTGTCCCTTCAGGATTGCATACTTGCTCTCAACGCGCACACAAACAATGCTACTCCTCGAATGGCACAACTCTTACTCATCTTGCCGTTGCTAAGGTATAACGATCGACTATTATTATTATTCGTTATTTTTTTTTTTATCATTTCATTATGAAATCCTCTTGCGAAATTTTCCGTTCTAAAAGGGTTAGCGTACGTCGGAAAAACAAGGCCATAATGTGAGTCTATGTGCCTGGAGTCAGATGACTTCATGCCCGCGCGTTCATGCATTAACAAGAAAGATGGACTGGCTTCCTGACTTTCATTCCTGAGGGTGGAATGAAAGCGACCCGCCACTCTTCCGTGGGTGGTCTATATACTACGAAAAAGCCCTCTTCTCTCCTAGTGGTTAGCATTTCCTATCCGTTCGTGTGAACGGTTAAGAAGGATAGGATTTGCGATAGAAGACGTTATTCTTAAACAACTACTGTCTTTTTCTATTTAAAATGGCAAATGGGCCTTCCAGTCTAATAAGGCGGAAATGCTCAAGGGTACTTTGCTCAAGCATGGCACCATTGGCCTGTATTATAAAAGCAGGAAAAATCATTCTTTCTCGTGGTAATATATGGTAAGAAAGTGGTTTAAAGATTTATTGACTACATTTAAATTTTAATCCGCAGCTTAGAAAAAGTTTAGTTTTTGTTCTCTTTGTCCTCTTATCGTTGGGTTCACGACTGGGAAAGAGAAAAACCACAAGTATCTGATCCGCATTACAGTTTGCGCCGTCATGCTGTTTTTCTGTGCTCGTTTTTGTACGTACGTAGTATGTCCATAGCTAGGAAGTACGTGGTAGACAAATGTATTATAAATGTTTATATGCAAAAGCTTTTTACGCACGAGATATTTGCCAACCGCTACCACCAGTGAAGCACCGACGCATATGTACGACACCCACTATTCTAAGTGTGAGAAAAACTTGGAAATTTGGAACACTGAATAGTTTCAGAGCCTATCTATACGCTAGCCGTCTATTTACTGCCAAGACACTATACACAATTACTGAAACATACTGTTCATCGCAACGAGAAGAAGTAAGCGACAATTGAATAGACCTAATTCCATAACCTATATTTATCCTTACATTTCAGATAATACATATTAGATATAAAGCAATAAAGGGCGAAGCCCGCGAACTAGCCCATAGTAACACGATATTAAGTCATCGACATATGCCTTATTTAATACCCGCTTAATGCCTGCGCATAAGGCTTTGCAAATACACAATTATAACTTGTTAAATGTTCCTCATGCCCTTTGTTTCTATATTTTATGCTGTTTTCCTTAACAGGCAACTCGACTTGATGGTGCGGCATTTTTGGCAACGGGCTCGTCAAGAGGGCAAAGTGGAAATGAACAAACTATTCTGTGAAATGCTCGAGTGTCACAGTAGTCAGTTGCGGGCGGTGTGCTAACCGAATGCCCTGTTGTCTAAAGACGACACAAGTTCTACTGCCTGTGACACCAGCCGCAGTCCGTCCTAATTCTCCGCCATTGTCTGCATGTTGGCCTTTCTATTGCGCCGGGCTTGGGTCCTTGTTTGCGTCTGTCTTCTTCTGGGATAGTGATTCTAACGCCAGTACAATAATCAACTGCCGAACTAACAGTTGTTGCCAAGAAGATCTAATTTCCGACTATGGTGTTGCGGAAGACCAAAGAACTTATACCAACACAACTTCTTCTGCCTAAGTTCAAAAACAAGCCAAGCTTCAGTTTGCTTTGAGTTTGTCAACTAACGCTTTGTGTGCTACAGCATCTAATTCCACCTGACTATCGAAGCTGGATGCGGTCGCGGCGCATGGGATTTATACCTCAATTAATTTCCATCAGTTCTACGGGAAAACTGACATTACATCGGGAAGGACGGGTGCGCGAACAGACTATGAAGAGGATCTCGTCATTTTTACTCGTATGCTTCAAGTCCGACACACGCAAATCGACAAACAAGACAGTGTCTTCTTCGTAAAGCGGCGACAGCACTCCCCTGCAAATTCTGCTACTACCAGAACTGCCCCCATGTACCGCAACTCGTTCCACAACTTCTACTGCAACCATTGTCTACCACAGCCATCGTAATCATTGTGCTTAGCTTGCCTATCTGTCGCCATTTTAATGACGCGCGCCTATTTTCCAACGAAGGCCGTCCATCGGCGACCTCGTCGGCGTCCTTTCGCACCCCCTAGGACTTGCGAGGCTTAGACAAAAGAGGTGAACGGAGTGCTTGCAAGAAACCATAAATCATGCCACTGCGATTAGTGACCGGTTTATTGCGACTCAGACTATAACCACTAAGGATCATCGATTATCAACAACAATCCAATTGTTGATTGACGATTCGTAGTTATTCCTGTTGGTAAAGAGGGGACTAATGCGCGATTACTGTTGTTACTTTATGCTGTTAGTACTACAATAGAAAAATTCACAGAGCTTTGCATAGGTGTAATGGGAAAAAAATCTATCAAATACAAGGAATAATGCCTACGGTCATTGGGTCTTCTTCCTTTTCCCGTCCAGTGTTTGTCGCAGAGATGTGCGACTAACTGATTCAGGGGGTTACTCGGCATGAAAATATAAATGGCGCATCTGAGCCGGACCGTGTTTCGTTAATTATTTCCATAGTAACAATATCTAAAAAAAGACAGAAACAAACTAAACAGTTTCCAATTACACGCAATTAGAGCAGATATCCAATATAGGTGACAGACGACGTTGAACGAGAGGTGAGCGAAAAAGGACAGACAACGCAAGCCCGTTGTTGTTAAGAGTTAAACTTTGTTGAGTAGTATAGCGGTTACTAATTAGAGCTAATTATATTATTACCATTCTATCTAATGGTTATTAGTATGACTAAAATATATTAACTGATTGATATAAAAAGGAGCGGACGATGGCAATGATGCAAATACTATTATTATGGTCTCTAACCCAATAGGGCATGGCGAATGGCCAAGGTCATGGTGTTGTTTAGGAAAAAAGCGAAAGGAAAAAGGGTTTGGTAAACGTGATGAGTGTGTTCATACTTGTGACAGGACTTATTATTACAGTATATAGAATGTTTGGAATCGTGAAAAGAGTGACAGTGCACTACGATATACTATCAATCGATAGCAGAGAGACAAATAGAAAAAAGGTAGTAGAGTCGTTGCGTCGTGTTTTTTGCCACGGCATGAAAATTGTATCATACAATACAATAGATTCACATAGGCTTAATGCACGTACATACACTTAGACACCGTGTGTGTGTGTGTGTGTGTGTGTGTGTGTGTGTGTGTGTGTGTGTGTGTGTCCCGTACAGCGACTTCATTAACTGATTATAGCCGATAATTCTTGACATGCTATAATTATTCATGACCTAACTAATGGATACTTTATATTGGTTGCAGGGGCTGTTAAAAGATACCATAAAAGAAGAATGAATGGTCAGGCTTACGATTATTAAATATGGATCGGATGTTAAAGGGAAATAATCAGACGTCTATGTAAATGCTATAGAGAGACTGCTATTTAGGAGAATTGTGGAGATGCTTACATAATATGCGTATTGTGTAATTAATAAGTGAGGAATATAATTAATTGATGGTATTGTCATGACGTGGTGCCTCCGTCGAGGTTACATTGGTTAATTATATACGATGTATGCGCATGGTACCAAAGAGTGTACAAGGACAGTGCAAAGGGGTGTCAACGATAACAGTAATGGCAAAAAGACGAAATGATTATTTGGGCCTTGGCTTATCATAGATAGAGAAATATCGCCCGACTCGTAGTTTAGGATTGGAACTTGATTAATGACAACTGTTATATTATTCTATTACTATAAGTTTTAAATAAGCCCACTTCCAGATACAAATGTTAACTCGTGTTGGCTCTGGTGGTCGAGTACGCGTAATTTATTTGTTGTGACCGTGATTTATGATGAACTAAATATTCTGTGACAGCCAAACAGGTAGTGGCTATATCCACCAGTAGTTATGTTCTCAGCCGGATAGAAATTGAGGCAATACATCCCTCTGTTGAATTTAGTGAACACTCCATTAAGGCTTTCACCGTGATTGTCGGTGCGACGTGATCGATCACTTACTGACGCATTAAGCTCTCTTAATTCAATTTATTACATCTATCGATTGTTGCTGCGGCAGCAATTGCTGATTGTGGTGGCTATTTACGGTCAGCCTTGCCGAGTGGCTGGGTCAAGAGTCCAGTCTTCCTGTCGTGAATTAATTTGGGTTCCGATTTATCGCATCATTTATGACTCAGTTGGCTGATGATTCACTAATCTAGCTTACGAGGTGCCATTTTCTGTCCCTATTGTTAAATTGATTGTTGTACATTTGATTAAGTGACCATAATAGATATATATATATATATATATATATATATATATATATATATATAAGTTAACTACGAAGCTAAATGGCTGTTACTGCTGTACGATAAATTAAATGCGCAATTGAAAATTTGTGATTGAATTATCTAGACCAAATCAGCCGGGGTAGCAGCGGTAGCAGCAGCAGAATATAGTAACTCATCAAATCTATGATGTGATCGCCATCATTTACCCCCGGAGAGGTGCGCTGAAAGTTGGCCGATCAAAAAACGAAGTTGTATTTGCCGAACAAGTTTGCCGCCTCCTATTGTGCAATAATATTATATACGATAATGTGTTAATATTCTGCTCTGCATCTGTGCGGATAGTAAGTATAGTCGGGAAGACCAAATCGGAACAGGCTGATTTCAGGAGATTTTTGGTGACTGATGGGAGCGACATATATGATGTTCGTATATCACGGGTCCGACTACGAGAGATGTACGACTGGCAAATAGAAAGGGTAAAAACAGTTACTATTGACAAAACAAAAAGGAAACAGTTAGTTGTTTGTGCGGATTGCGGTATGTTAAAGTTCTCCTATATTGTCTTGACAAAATAGCGTTTATTCAGCAGTTCGGTTGACAGCGATCGCCTCGCTACTTTGTCGCAATCGTTTTCACATGTAGCATTAAGGCTCTGATCGAGCATTGCTATGACGAGGATACTAGTACAATAAATTTACAGGAACACTATATTTATTGACGGATATCATTTAGCTGTGACGCGAATGCCACGCGTCGTCCCTACCTATGTAGACTATGACAGTGTTACTATTACTAAATATATTCATGGATAATGATTTGCTAGCTAGCTGTGCTCAGTTTCATTGATGAGGTTTAAGTTTCATATATATATATATATATATATATATATATATATATATGGCACTGCAAAAGGCACCTATGCGTCGAAAAACGCGAACATATAAAACGTAAAAGTGCAAGAACGGGTGAGTCGATTAAATCTATATATTACATTAACCTATATAAATATATATATTCTTCAAAAATATACATTCACTGCGTAAATACGATGCGGATGATTGTAGGAAGCGACGAGTACGTAAATCTATAGATAAACAGACACGCCTATATATTTATGAGTGACGGTACATATTGCCCTGAATGTACAAGTCGGAGACAGCGCGAGGATGGCGAAGGGAAATCGATTTCGAAAAAAAAAACAAACTAGTAGGTAAAATATGGAATTACGAAATTATAATAATAACGATGATCATGATAATAACAGTGATGAGAATAATTAATTAAAAGCAGCTCTTATAACTTTGTTAAGAAGAAAACAGAAGACGCAAAAAAAGCAGAGAAAGACAACGATCAAGGTGGTGATCAAAATAAAGGGGCGTTTACGTCAGATCGATGCCCTAGGTGCTTGGATATTAAGCTACTGCGTATACATGATGCTCGTGTGACAGTCAAGGCGCAAATGATGGCGAGCCAATGGAACGACAATAGGGGCATTAATGGAATACACACACATACAGACACGCTTAAAGGGTCGATATCGGACCTTCGTTGTACCCGGCTCAAAATTCATTATAATGGGTTTTCTATGTAAATAAAACGAGATCAGCTGTGAGACCTGTCACCTCTATGGAGCATGATCAATCGGGCACCTTTCCTCGTTCCTATCTGAATCGCACGTTGAGTGCTGTTGTGTCACCAATCGCGTCTAAACAAGTAGGTTAGGCTTACAGACAAACAGAAGCAGACTATTGTTGACGGATTGGACAGGGCAAAAGATTACAAGGTAGATAATGATATGATCCAAAAATAATAGGAAGAAAATAAATAGGCGCAAACGCAGGTAGAAGTAAACCGGGTATACGGAAATTTGTCACCGCCATAGATAGCAACTCAACTCGCTCTTGTTCTAGTCTAATTTCGGCCCGGTAAGAAGCATGCCGTGTCCCCTTTAACGTTTTTCTAATTATTGCGAAGAGGTAAAAAGAGAGAAACCGATCTGAATAAAATAAACGTAACTTTGCATGGTAGTACCGATGCGGAAAGGCCTCGGCCGCTAATTGATGCAAATCGTGGAAAAAAACCGTTATCAACGACCCATTGAGAGTGCTTGATATATTTATGCATATAACACGCTACGCCTAACTACGAATTTCAACCATACATTTCTATCGATATA